GATTGACATCTATGTCCCAACTTGAGGGGGAGTGTTAACAGTTGTTATTTTTCCTATGTATAGTACTACAGGGGTACTATTGTACTTTTACTCTTTTTTATTTTAGTTGTTGTCGCCCTAGTATATATATTAAAAAATCTGCACCGCCAGCAACATCTTTTGCTCTCAGTTCTCTCTTTTCTCTTCTTCTCTCTCTCTCTTTTCTCTCTTCTTCCATTCTTCTCTCCTGCATAACATGACTTTTAGTTGGGTAAGTAGGACTGCAAATGGGATGGCAGATGTGCTTGAATGTGCCAATTTGTACTAAATGCCATAACTTTTATAAATCATTAATGAAATCTTTTTACTAAATGTCAATGGAGTGTTGGTGTCTGACCAGGAGGAGATTGCCACTTATTTCGTAAATCACTTTAAAGAGGTATATAAGAGACAAGAGAGCACTAGTTTTAGCTTGGTAGGATTAGATTGGCCAAGCTTGAAACCTGAAATGGCACACTGGTTGGAAAGGGATTTTGAGTTGGAAGAAATAAGAGGAGCAATGTTCTCAATGAATCGATCTAAAGCTCCAAGGCCAAATGGTTTCACTATGGGTTTTTATCACGACTGTTGGGATATCATCAAGTCAGATTTATGGGCAGTCTTTGAGGAGTTTGCTGAGGAGCATTCTACTAGCCCAGGGATTAACTCCACTTTCTTAGCCTTGATACCTAAAAAAGGAGATACAATTCAGCCAAGAGATTTCAGACCCATCAGTTTGGTGACTAGTATTTACAAGATAGTGGCCAAAGTAATTTCCTTGAGGTTAAAAATAGTTTTGCCCTCCTTAATAAGTCAATCACAAGGGGTTTTCATTCAAGGTAGACAAATCACTGATCAAGTCCTGATAGCTAATGAATGTGTGGAAGACTAAAAGAGAAGGGGGAAGAAAGGATTTGTCTGTAAACTGGACCTGGAGAAAGCATACAATCTAGTAGATTGGTCATTCTTGATGGGAGTTTTGAGGAAATTTGGGTTTGGATATAGGTGGTGTGATTGGATTGAAGGTTGTTTAGCTCATTATTTTGTGTTGGTTAATGGAGTGGTTAGAGATTTCTTTCCAGCCAGCTACGAGAGGACTAAGACAAGGGGATCCCCTCTCTCCCTTCCTCTTTACCTTGTTAGTAGATGTTTTTAGTAGACTTATCTTGAGAGCGGACAGGCTGAATCTGATTAGAGGATGGAGATAAAGTTGTGGGATGCACCCGAGTCTACCAATATGACCACCTCACGTGACAAAATGCGTCCGCGCACCTTAAGGGAATTTGCCGCACACAACCCAACAAGAGACGAGACACAAAGTGCGGCTGATTCTGGAGCCGGAGCAATTTCAGTGTCCCCGGAAGTGTAGTCCCAATTAGACGCATCAGAATCAAGTTCCTCCACATCATCTTGAAGCATAGACCCTTCGCTTGTTTCTATTGCATCTCTTTGTCGGTCATCTTTTTGAAAGCAGGTGGGGCCTAAATAATAGGGGCTGATGCAGGAGAAGGAGGGATTGTGGCTCGTGTAGGTCGGGTGACAGCAGAAGTAGTCACTTGCGAAACCCGTGAGTTAAAGTGGGTTCCCGAGAGGGACGTTGCGGGCCCACGAGGATATGAACTAGATCGATAGGCCCATAAGGCCTTATTCTTTTCCTCAATTTTCTGGGCTGCAACCATTTTTCTAATCAGCCCAACGGGTTCCATCTGTCGGAGTTCGGCCTGGATATCTGGGCGCAACCCATTCACAAAGGTTGCTTCAAGGACTGATTCTAGTAGGTCACGTAAGGGGGCAGAAAGCACCTCGAAATGGCAACGATATTCCTTGACAATAGTGGATTGACGTAATGATAGAAGCTGCTCCTGCAAGTTTCCCTCCTGAGTTGATCGGAAACGTTCAAGGAAGAGTTCCTTGAATTCTGCCCAGCTACGAAAGGGTCGCCAACCATCCTCCCAATAATACCACACCAATGCATCACCCTCTAAACAGACCACTGCCGCCCACAGACGTTCCGCCGGAAGCAAGCCATTAATCTCAAAATAGCGCTCCGCGCAAAAAAACCAGCCATCTGGATTTTCCCCATCAAAAATAGGCAGCTCCAACTTCCGAGGAAGTGAATCAGAAGTATGTTCTGGGGCTGTCATTGAAGGGGACGTCGGGAAAGCTGCACCCTTTCCTTTGTCAGCCGCACGACTTGATGCAGATACAGGAGGAACATTGTCAGTTGTAGACAAAGGAGCTGACAAGGACTGTTGCTGCAGCAACAAATCAAAACGCCTTACCAAGTCTTGAACGCCTCCTTCCAAGGATGTGATCTTCGACAGTCCAGCTGTTATCTCATCACGCAAGCCATCCACTTCAGAATGCAGAGAAGTCAAGCGTTCTTTGAAACCCTCCACCTGCGATGCCACTTCCTTAGCTATCACCATGGCCGAGGAAAGACGTGCTCTGATACCACTGATATGTCCCAGAAATTTGACACGCAGTTCACAGACTCACAGCAGAATCCAAACCACTAGTACTTCAACAGGGAACTGATATTCATTTAGAAGAAAAGAAGATCACTTACAGTAGGTCGGTTCTTTGAGAGACTGTCGGCTCTCCCAAGCACTCTCAGAATTCTGTACTCAGCAAAAGTCTGTCTTCTCCATCCCCCAAAGCCCCTTCTTATACACATCTTATAGCATAACTGCCTTCCATAATAAATGTCCAGCTGGTCGAAATATAAATGCCCCACTCTTCTTATTCCCAACTAACAAGCTATAAATGCTAAATGCCCTATACTCTTCCTATTCTCAACTGACAAGCTATAAATGCCACAAAAACTCTCCTTATTCCCTCCAGCCATAAATTCCCCCATGTTCAATTATTTCCCCCCTTGGCCGCCAGTTGACCTTTCCCCTTCCTGGTGTATGTAAAATTAATTGGGGGCCTATCAAAATGGTATTCAAAAATCAAGTTCAAATTTGAGATTTGATGTAATTGAATCGAATTTGGATTATACAAATACCAGTAATGGTCAATTTCAAATAAGACATTTTATAGGTTAATTCATCAAATCGAATTGAATAAGGACTCATTTCAAAAAAGTTGAGAGTTCCTCTCTTCCCATATGGACCAACACACTGCCGCCCTAATGCTTCTCCACATGACCTTCCCTCTTTTCTTAGGCCATCTTGAGAACGAAGGAGAGATCAAGCTTTGCATACTTGTGGGGGGATTCCAAGTGCATCCAAAAAAGGAAAAAGCCCACTCCCAAACAGTTTTAGTAAGCGGACAAGTAACCATAAGGTGGTAAACCGTTTTCCCATCAGCTTTACAAAGAACACACCTATTGGGAAGTAAACAGGAATTAGGTCTCTTCCTTTGAAGCAAGTCATTTGTGTTTATTCTTTCTAGGAAAGTTTCCCAACAAAAACTACCAACCCGAGGAGGAATGGATTTGCTCCAAATCTCTTTAACAGGGAACGACAAACAACCCAAAGGTAGCAGAAAGTTGGACCAAAGTCTCAAAAAACGATGCACAAGAAAAGGAACCAGTGGAGGAGGGGGTCCAAATTCTGGAGTCATCCTTACTCGGGTCCAAGAAAACATTTTCAAGGATGGCTAGTAAGGACGATAAACAACCCAATTTTGTATCCCTTATTGTTCTCCTCAACCCTAGATTCCACCCAAAGCTGGAAGTAGAATCAGAAGGAACTAAGAAAGAAGAAATGGGTTCATTTTTCAAATCTGACAAGGCATACAGGGAGGGAAATTGGTCCATCAGGGATGAGTCCCCAACCCAAGGCTGCTCCCAAAATTTTATGAGATTACTAGAGTTCAAATCATACCTTATCCAAGGGGAGAAAACCGGAAGCAAATCATGAATGGCTTTCCAAGGGGAAGCAGTTGTAGTCCTTGCCAAGGTTTCTACTCCTATAATTACTACACTTGCACCTAATATATTTTTCCTTAGTCTTAGTAAGGGAAACTTGATGGAGGGGTTAATGGAACAAACCAAGATCTTCTATGTTGACCATATGCTGTTTTAACATCAATTTTCTCTTGGAAACTAGAATAAAAAATTTAAAAATAAAAAAAAGGCTTTAAGAAGTCCATCAAAGTTCTCTAACTCACAGCAAATCATGCCAATCATGTATATTCAGCAGCATTCATTCTATGGGGGGTGGAGGGCAGGAGGGGGAGGAAATAAAAACTCAAATAAATCATGCATGTAGAATCTAAAAAAAAATACTTGGCTGCTATAAAAACCCAATGCTGTCATGAACTAACACCATGTCAATAAATTAGTAATGAATTTCCTAAATCACACTGTATCTATGAGATCTTGGAGTCATTAGATAGATAGCTAAAAGATATTTTCAAAGACAAATATTAAAGTCAAAACTCAAAAGTATAAAAATTAGGACAGGTGAAAGTGGTGAACTTAACTTCCTACAAATAATTCCTTGGTAAAACTCTTAAAACTGACAACACTGAATTCCAATCAGCAAAGACTACAATCTAACTACTAGAGAACAAATATATAACTCCTGTTGATATGGCCTTCCTATAAGAGGATCAGACATCAGAGTTGCAGACTTGCAGATCTCTATGGACTAGGGCTTCTCATAGGCTTTTCTTTGGGATGTCAGGTTTGAATGGGCTGGATGCCCCAGGATCAAATGCATAATCAGAAGAGTTAAGATAACTTGGGAGAGGGATATCCCCAATGAAAAGTACACCAAATGTTCTCCATGCAAGTGGAAATTTTCTTATCACTATCATTACAAATGATACCTGATAAGGTGATTTATATACAAGCAACTACAAATGAATTTGCTACATATCTACAGAATACAAACATCCACCTGAAAGAAAGTAACTTCTATGGACATCCATTTTAGAAGACTGATAAAGATCAAAAGATAGCAAAATTTAAGAAATTATATCCTAAAACTAAAATCATTGGTAAAGAACAATTTGTTAAGAGGAATAACCTTGTGGCATCAAATCCACCAATATAGCAATATTTTGATGCACTTATTCCACCATCAGGACCCTACATAAGAAAGAAGAGTAGATTTCCTCAAAAAGATGAAGTTGATTAATGACTTTCAAATGGAAAAAAGATCAACAAACCTGTGCCCTCCGAAGCCCAAACTCAAGTAGAACTTTGGACTTCCCTGCAACAAATCGGTGTCTTGCAGCATTTGTAGCCACTAATGATGCATAGTTGATAAGATTTACAAATGGAGTTTCCAAAAGTTGAACCACCTTAAAAAGGAGAAATATTTAGCTGTGATGTACTCAAAAATAAGAACATGTGAATAACTTTCAAACTTTTAGCTACCGTCTAGAAAATAAGCACAATTAAGGTTCTACATTCATAACACATGACATATGGTGAATGTAGAGAACACTGATGTGGACCCCACTGTGTTCGTATGGCAGCATATTTCTGTTAGTTATGTCAGTGTTAGTTGGTAGTTATTTCAGCTTTATTATTAGTTTATTTGCCATGTAAGCAATAAGGGCAATTCAGCCCTTTTACAATTAGTCAACATATATAAATATTAAGAGTGGGTCGGCTGATGTTATGACCAACCCTCTCTCTTTTCAAAAATCTCTTCGTGTGCTTCTTCTCTTCTCTCCTTCTCTTCTTCTTCTCTTCTAAAATTTCTTCAATCTTTTTCTTTTGAATTCAAGACTGATTGTAGTCTTGATCAACTACTTGGTATCAGAGCCGACCTAGGAGCTCTGATGTTAGTCTAATTAGATTGACTACATGAGAATCTCCTAGGTTTAGAAGTTTTTCAACAAAGAAGGAGGATCGGTTGATTCTTAGAGGTTACTGGCAGTGTGCAGCTGCTACTAAGAAGATTGTAGAAGGCTGGGAGAGTTCCAGTAGTCAGGAAGAATCAGAAAAGGCTTCGGATCCTCAAGATTAGGATTTTGCATCAGACAGAAGGTGGTGGCCAAAGATTTTCTTTCATAAAGTAAGTTTTTCTTGAGAATAACTTTGAAAAAAATCATCTTGGTCTATTCTGAGAGGTGCGGCTGGAAAATCTGTGTTTTTCCTTTAGAGTTTTGAGAGAAAACCCTAAAATTCAGAATTGTTGTTGGTTTCAGATCAGATTTTGAATTGGTTTCGTACAGAATTCTGTTTTCTTTGTTCTTTGGAAGACCTAGGCCGGTTGTTATCAGTTGTTTGGGTGTTGTTTTTCTATTATAGTAGTTTAAAAAAGGGTTTTTTTATTAATTCTTGACCAAGAATGGAGTTCAAAAATTAGGGGGAGTGTTTTTGGGACTAGCAATTCTGGTAACATGTCTGAGAATGCCTTTCAGATTACAACTGTGAAGTTTGATGGATCAAACTACTTAGAATGGGCTCAATCGGCCATGATGGCCATTGGGGGTAGAGGAAAACTCAACTACTTGTTGGGAGATGTGAAAGAACCAACCAAGGAGGACCAAACTTATACCAAATGGGTTCAGGAGAACTATTTGGTTATGACATGGCTGCGCAACTCTAATGTAGCCACATATCAGCTGGAACTATTTGTGGGAAAAAACAGCCAAGGAAATCTGGGATGTCATGAAAGAGACTTACTCCTAACTCCTTAATGTTGCTAGGGCTAATGAATTGAAGTGTGAGGTTAACAACCTTAAGCAATGAGAGAAACCAGTCTCGGTTTACTTCTCTACCTTGAAATCTCTATGGCATGAAATTGACCACCTAGAAACACTTGAGTGGGAAAGTCAAAAGGATGCACAAACTTATAGAAAGCAAGTTGAAACTAATAGGGTTTTTGAATTCCTAGTTGGTCTGAATCCTGACTATGATATTGTGAGACAGCAACTACTAACAAGGGATAGTGTGACCTTATCTCAAGCCTACTCCATAGTGCATAGTGAAGAGACTAGGAGAAAGGTTATGATGCAGCATYARCCCTTCCCAYYAGCCTTGGCAGCARTTAAACCTAAGTCTGGGGGTGATACGGAGAGGGATATAAAGAAGGAAGATAAGCGGGATCTAGTGTGTGAACATTGCAAGAAACCTAAGCATACTAAAGACACATGTTGGAAGCTGCACCGTCATATAGTTCCAGCAAAACTCAGGAACAAAAGGGGTAATGCTAATATGGCTGTTAATACTGATTGTGCATCTTCATCGGGCACAAAAGGCATGCCTCTAGACACCCTAACTGCTGTCCGGGCTGCCCTGACTCAATTGAAAAAGGAAGTTGGGAATTCAGCTCAATCATCTCAGCCGCCATCAGCTCCTCCCACATCAGCCTTTGCTCATTCAGGTACTCGGGCCTCAGCTTATCATGCTTCAACTCCAGGTAACACTGAACATTGTTGGGTAATAGACTCAGGTGCATCTGACCATATAACTGACTTGCCATCACTGTTCACTACCTATCACTTATCTTCTTGTAGAGATAAAGTGTCCATTGTTGATGATTCCCCTGTTCCCATTTCTGGCAAGAGAGACATCAAGTTGTCTAATACCATTTCCTTATCTTCAATTCTACATGTTCCTAAGCTTAATACTAACTTGCTTTCAGTTAGTAGCATTACAAAATATCAGAATTGTTCCGTAACTTTTTTCCCTGACTGATGTGTTTTTCAGGACTTGGAGACAAGGAAGGTGATTGGGACTGGCCGTGAGACGAATGGGATCTATCTGCTCGGAGAGAGTTCTCATTGGGAAGATAGTCAAGATAGGAAGTCCTTTGTTTCTCAGTTTGTTAGTCAGGTTATGCTTTGGCATAATCGGTTGGGTCATTTATCCTTTCGGTCTTTGAAGAGTTTGTTTCCAAATTTATTTGAGTCTGTTCAGATGTCCAATTTGAGATGTGAGAGTTGTGAGTTTGCAAAGCATTGTATAACATCTTATTCATTGAGTAACAAAAGTAGTAATTCTCTTGATATTGTGCATACCGATATTTGGGGCTCGTATCACATCACTGCTATGGGGTGATACAAATATTTCTTGTTGTTTGTTGATGACTATACCCGTTTTTCTTGGGTTTACCTTATGTGTTCTCGAGATGATGTACCTGCTTTGACCCAGATCTTTCATTAGATGATTTTAACCCAATTTGGGGTCAAAATCAAAATCTTCAGATCCGAKAATRYRAAAGAATACTTTACCAACTCATTAGCCTCTTATTTGCTTGATCATGGGATTATTCACCAGAGTACTTGTCCTTATACACCACGGCAGAATGGGGTTGCTGAGAGGAAGAATAGGCACATATTGGAGGTGGATAGAAGCATTATGTTTAACTCCAATGTGCCTATTCGTTTCTGGGGAGATGCTATTCTTGCAGCACTGTATCTCATTAATCGAGTTCCTTCACGGGTTCTTGACATGAAGCCTCCATTTACCCTTCTATACCCCGATAAAGAATTGTTTATCGTTCCCCTTAAAACCTTTGGTTGCACTTGCTTTCTTCAGATTCTTGGACCTCATCGTTCCAAATTTGATCCTAAGGGCTCCAAATATATTTTTCTCAGTTAAGCACAAACTCAAAAGGGTTATTGTTGCTATGAACCTACTTCTGGAAGGAGATTTGTCTCGATGGATGTTACTTTCTTTGAAGAGGTACCCTATTATCCTAGGGTTTCTCCTCAGGGGGAGAGTAGTGAGAGTGGGGTTTACTCATCAAAAGTTCCTTTACCTGTTCCACTGAGTGATGAGGGATGTAATGGGGAGGGTTGTCAGAGGTGTCAGGATTTGAGAGTCTATCACAGGCAGTGGAGGCAGGTTGATTTTGGTCATCAGCAATCCAAGCCAGCCCCAGTTCCTTCTGTGGATCCAAATCCAGGTACCATAGTCCCTTTATCAAATCCAGGTCCCACTGAGATACCTTCCACTGTTGCACCCTTACCTCCTTTGCATGACCTTGACCTCCCCATTGCAGTCCGTAAAGGCAAACGGCGTTGCATCACATCCACAGCTCACTGTATTTCCCAGTTCTTGTCCTATGATCGCCTGTCCCCCTCTTACAGGTCCTTTCTCACATCCATTGCTGATATTCCTATCCCCAAAACAGTGCGGGAAAACTTGTCAGTTCCTGAGTGGAAAGATGCAATGAAGGTTGAAATGGATGCTCTTCTGAGGAATAATACTTGGGAGCTAGTTGACCAGCCTAAAGGGAAGAAACCGGTTGGATGTAGATGGGTATTTACTGTGAAACATAATGTTGATGGTTTCATTGAAAGGTA